ATTAGTTGATAAGTATTTTGGATTTATATAATTTCTTTTTGTTATATTTGTCAAAAATAAATGATAAAAAATAAACAAAAGTTCAAAAAAAAAAAAAACCTCAAAAAATATTTATAAATATTTAAAATGAAAACTTGAAAAGAATTAGATAAGTCATGACAAGAAGAGAAAATATCTCATTGTATCGACCAATTGAAGTTACTTGCTATCCATTTATGTACATGCAAACTCCTCAACCACCACAACCTACTGATAAGGTAGTATTTCCTGCTTATGTATTGGATGAATTAACAAAACAAAACCCAGACTTTCAAGCGCCAATACTATTTGAAGTGAGTAATAAAAGTCCAAAGTTTAAGAAACGAATAGTTTGTGGGGTTGAATCATTTTCTTCTCCAGATTTCACTTATTTTCCACAATGGATTTTAGACTATCTTCATATTCAGCCAGGTGATGTTGCTACTATTTTTAAAGTACTTATTCCCAAAGGAAAATCAGTTACTTTTAAGCCATTGCAAAGTACGTTTTATAACATTGAGGATCCAAAGAAAACGCTTGAATCTATATTGAGAAATTACATGACATTAACACTAAATACAACTATAACATTTCAGATGAATACAATTATTGATGGAATGAATATTGCTACTGATGTTAGTGTATTAATATCAGACGTTCAACCATTTTCTTCAATTTATATCAGGGAAACAGAGCTTATTGTTGAGTTTGAAGAGAACCTAGAAATTTCACCTAAGTATAAGAAACCACAACCAATTGAAGAAGAGAAAAGTGAAGAAGATGAAGACATTGATTTTAAATTTACTCCTGTTATTCAACAACCAGTTGAGCAACATCTGACTGATAGTTCTGATTTTAAACCATTTGAAGGAGAAGGAAGTAGGCTTGGAAGATCAAGAGATATGGAACCAAATGATTATACGGATACTGAACTTTGTCCATATTGTAATGGTCATATCAAAAAAGTCAATTTTAAGATTCATGAATTAAGATGTCGTAAAATGTATAAGATATGTCCATTCTGTGGAAAAAAATTGCTTATTAACTCAGAAGAATCACAAAAACATTTAGATCTTCATGTACAAGTTAAATGTATTCAATGTGGTGAAGAAGTTGAAAGACAATATTTAAAAGAACATATGAACAACGTTTGTCCTAAAAGATTAATAAAATGTGAATATTGTTCATTAATGTTTCCTGCTAACCAAATTCAACAACATAAAAACTATTGTGGGAATACAATAGAAGAATGTGATTTGTGTGGAGCAAAAGTTTCATTAAAACAAATGCAGCATCATAAAGAAAATGATTGTGCATTTGCACCACGTAATATTCAACGTGAACAAGAAACCATTGAAAATTTTGGACTAGAGACGTCACAAGAAGGATGTTTTGAATGTCCTATGTGTATGAATCATTTTTCCAATCAAGTTGATCTTGATACTCATATGCTTTGTTTCCATCCTGAATTGTATGATTAATAATAAAAATTATTAATAAAATTTTTGTTATAGATTTGTGTTTTTTAAAATAAAATTTTCATATTTATAAAAAAACTTAAAAAGAAGAAATATTAGATTTTATAATTTATGTCAACTAATAGAAGAAATGGAAATAAAACTACACCTTATCTTAGTAGTATTATTCTTAACACAGTACCAACACAAATTCGTTCAATTTGTTTTATTGATAACCAACTGTTTATTGGAGGAGAAGATGGAACAATATATAAAGCAGAATATATTGAAAATAAATATATGATAATGAAAGGTGTTAGAGTTTCTAAACAACCTATTACTTGTATTCAAGCATTTCCAAGGAATGGATTATTATTATTTGTAACAACACTAAGAATTGGAGCATTAACAACAACATTAGAAAAATTAAAAGTAAGTGGGATGGATATTATTGGAAGTGATTGTGCAGTTATTTTAAAAGATAAAAGTGTAATTAAGAGTAGAGTTGATAAATTTGGAATATATTCAACACAAAGGACATTAACATTTATTGAATATTCAATAGAAAATGGCTTTGAAAGAAAAATGAATGGAATTGTTTTTGATATGGTTCCTCAAACAATTGAATGGGTTGGTGATAGATTGTATTATATTCAAGGAGATCTTATAAAGTTTGTAAGACTATCTGATAGAAAAGTTGGTGTATTAAGAGTAAGAAGAGGAGAAGGTAAAATGAGACCATTTGTTCGTGCTGTTGGAGAATATGTATTAATTGGAAATGCAGAATCATTACAAATTATAGAAAAGAAAGGAACACCTGTTGAAAAAGTAAAAGAAGTATTTCCAACTATGTTAAGTTCATTATTTAATATTGTTGTTATATTTCCATTTGTATTATGTTTCTATCCTGATTGTATTAGAATTTACAATTTCTTTACGGGACAATTAGATGATACTATTCGTATTAAAAGTAGTATTGTTAATCAAAATGAAAGAGATGTTGTTGTTTGTTTAAAACAAACAAATGGACCAATTCAATTATTAAAAGCAATAGACTTAATTCAATTTATTAATGAATATATTAAAGTAGAACAATATAATGTTATTAGTCAATTATTAGATAGTTATACTAATGAAATGCAAGCAGCATTACCAGTATTAAGTGATGAAGATTTATTATTAGTAAGAGTTGTTTATGGGGGAGTATTACTTGAAAATTATAGATATAATGAAGCATTTGAACAATTTATAAAATGTTCAATCATTAAAACTGAGTCAAAAGTAAGTTGGGATGTGAGAACAGTAATTGCTATATTTGATAACTTAATAGAACCAAATGACAAATTTAAGCAATACTCTCCTGTAGATTGGAAATTAATAGAAAATAAGATAGAAGAGTCTAAAAGAATTAAAGAACGTAAATTAGTTTATAGTCAATTAAGTGAATTTCTTCAAAGAGTTCAGAAGATTACAAAATATGATAAAGAATTAGAAACTCAAAGAATTAAAGCAATGATTGTTGCTGAAAGAAATGATGTTGTTGAAGAAATAGAAAGGGATGAAAGAAGAGGATGGTTTATTGATGTAGACAATGTTCTTAAATTTGTAAAAAATGGAAATGACATAAGAGTTCTTTCAAAATTAAATGTAATGAAAAAGGATTATATTTCTGCACTTAGAATATGGAATAAATTAGCAATGGGAAATGACCAACGAGTATTTGACTATGGAATTGAAGATGTATTAAATATTATTCAATTATTAGACTGTAGTAATAGAGTTGAATTAAGATTATTAAAAATTGTATTAAATTGGTTAATTCCTGAAGTGTTTAATGAATGTCTTTACTTTAAAGGGGAATTTCCAAGTATTCTTTTAGAAAGATGTAAGTCATTTGAAGAACGATTAATTAAAGAACAATTTACTCAAATCTTTTTAAAAAAATTAAATGAAAGAAATCATCAAGAATTACTTGATTATATTAATTTATTACATGCAAAATTATATATTATTAAAACAGGTTTATCTAATAAATTTATTGGGGAATGTAAAGAATGTATTTCTATTTTTATTAATGGCTCAATAGAAGTAATTAATAATTCAAATTATCGAAAAGAGTTTCAAGATGAAATGAGTCAAACTCTTCAACTTCTTCTTCAAAATTCAAAAGCAGTTGAAATGAAAACAATCATTAACTCTCTTCAAAAATATCATATGCAGAAAGAATTAATAGTTGTTTATGAAAGAATGAATCAAGTTGCTGATTTAATTGATGAATTGATGAAAATGGGAGGTATTTCAACAGTATTACATTATTGTCAAAAACATCCAATACATTCAAAAGTTTTATTTGATTATTCCATTTCAAAAAATTTAGAAGTATTACCAGTTGTAATAGAAACATTAATTGAACATTTAGATATCAATCATGTATTAGAACAATGTATCGAATATAAAATAGATAAACAAATTTATCTTCCTTTTATTTTAAAACGTATTAGAGAATTGGCAAATACTTACCTCGCTCTTCAATTTCAATACTCAACGATTGTGGCAGATAGTATAAAAGAGCCAACTAGGTATATTATGATTAATCAACGTTCTGTTTGTTATTTATGTAATGAACATATATTTAATGATTTTGTTCTATATCAAAACCATACGTTTTGTTCTAAATGTTATTCAAAAATGAAAATTCCTCAAAAATTTATATTTTAAATTCATTATCTTTCCTTCTTTTTTTTTTTGTTATTTAATTTTGTTAATTTAAATGATATTATATTTATTTATTTCTTTTATTATTTTTAATCAATCCATTTTTTTAATAAATTAGTTTATCTATTAGACTCAGACGGAACATCATCTATTGATATTTCACTCATTGTAAATGTAGTCTTTTTTGGATGTATTGAAACAGGGTCCATTGATGAAGGGTTATCATTTGTTGTATCATCTCCTATTTCAATACTCTCAATTTCCATAGATTTGTCATTACATTGATTCTTATTTGTATTCTGAATCGGTTGTGTATCACCACGCATTTCTCTATCCCTAGCCATTTGTATTTGAAAAGTAACTTCATCTTCTTCACGTGTTATAGCATCTTCAATTGCTTGTTGATCTTCTTCAATCTCATTTGTTACAAACATCTCAAGAGCATCACCTCCTTTTTTTTTCATAACACATCCTTGTAAAAATACTGGAATATCATCAACAGATATTTCTTCAATACTATTGTCTTCATCATTAACATCATTATATACATCTTTTACATAAGTGTTATGTTTTTCTTTTTCATTTAATCGTTCAAATATATTAAAATCATCACATGGCATTGTCATATGTTCTCGATGGAATGTACAAACATCTGATTTCTCCCAATCACTTTTAACAAATTTGTCCTTTACTAACACTTTCTGTAAATCACATAATGAAACCCATTTATTCATAAGTTCTAATTCATTAGTTGAATTTTGTTCTTTTACAAATAAGTCTTTAATAACTTTAGAATTAAAGAATATGCTTTTAACTATATTCCATTTATCTTCAAAAACACTTGTTGGCTGTATTCTAATCCCATCAAATGTTGGATTTTGACATACTTTCCAATGTCGGATAACTGAAGAAATAGATGTAAAACATTCCAAACATTTAAAACATCGAATTGTTGGTTTAGAAGAAGTGTTTAAATCAATAAAAGAAACACCCTCTTCTAATGGCTCTTTACATAGATCCGCAAAGTGTCTTTTTAATGATTGAACAATTCTAGGTGGATATTGTAAGAAAATCAATTTAAAAAATTCATCAAAAGGAGATGTTTTTCTTAATAACGGCTGTTGTTGTATTAGTGAATGTAAAAAACAAAAAGCCTTAAAATGGTATTGGCTATTAATAATTTTAATAAAAAAATCTTGGTGAGCAGATGATTGAAAGATTTCAGGTGATAGTGTTGCTTTGTTTAAAAAGTGTCGAAGAAATATTTTAACAAAAGACATTGTTTGGTGTTGTCTAATTGGTAATAATTGAGTGATAATGCTAATATTTGATAATAGAAAAGGGTCAGATTGTTTAAAGTAGGAACAAACACCAGCTGGGTAATTAACTTTAGATAAAACACAAGCAACCTTAGTATATTGGTCTTGTCCAAACTTGTCAGAAGTTGTTATTATTTGATTAATAGCAGAATCAACCATTTTTTCTGGTTGCATAATAGTAATATCAATAAGAAAATCAAAATAACCTTTAGAAATAATTAAAGGAAGTGACTGAATAATTTCATTATGAAAAGAAGAGAATATTGAGTTAAAATGATAAAAACAATTTAATATTAACTTCTTTAATAATTCTTTTCCTCCTAAATCCAATAAACCAATAAAAAAACTACTATCAAATGGTAATGTTGTAAATCCAGACTCTGAATATAAATCATTTAAGTTTTGAATAAATTCTACATTACAAACATTATCAATAAATAATTTTACTTCTTTCATAAGAAACAGATTTTGAAGTTGTGTTTTTGATGTTGCTGCACGTAAAACTTCTGCTAATGTATTTTTAAATTGATTGTCATGACTAGTATCTAATAAAACAGGAGTTATAATTGAACCATCTGTATTTGGTATTTTTAATATTGAAGAAATAGGACAAATAACTAATGACTAATAAGTACTAAATAACGTCAATATCAAATTAGATATAAAATCAAACTATTAGGTATTTTATCCATTAAATAAGGCTTAAAAGTTTCTTTCCTTTTTTATTTTTTATTTTTAAATAACTCAATTATTTTTTTGTCATATATAACGAAATAAATAACCATATTTTTATATGTTTACTAAACAATATCATTTAAATTCTTGTCATGTAAATTAAAAAGAAGAATAAATTTAGATAAGAATAAAAACCCGAAAAATTAGGGGTAATAAAGAATTTCATTATGAAGTAAGAATTAGGAAATCTTGATATAAAAAGGATAAAATCTCTAAAATCAATTAAATAAAATGTTTAAACGGTTATTAGGAAGTAACAAACAACCAAAAGAAGTTGGTGATATTCTTGTTTCTTCAACAGATATTCAAAAAGGAGATATCATTTCTAAAAATGGACCACATGGAGATGTGTATCGATGTTTATTTAAAAAGACTAAGGCAGTTGTTAAATTTTTCTCAAAGGCTGACTCAAGTCAAAAGTCTTTTAAAGAAGAAACAGAGACATTAAAAAAAATATTCCATCCAAATGTCCTTTTGATAATGGGTATAATAGCAGAAAAAGGAATAACTGGTGTTATAATGGAATCTATGAAATGTAATTTATATAATGTTATTTATGAACCAACTAAATGTCCAAAAGCACTTCAAAAAGTTAGTAGATTAAATAAATTTAAAATTCTTAGAGATATAGCAGTTGGACTTGCTTTTATTCATTCTCTTGCAAAAATTCCTCATGGAAATTTGAAGTTAACAAATATTCTTTTTGATGACTCAGGTAAAGTCAAAATCTCGGATTATTTCTATTCTAATTTAAGAACACCTGTTAAAACAAATGGTTATTATGTATGTTCTCAAAAAGGTAATAATGCTTATCAAGCACCTGAAGTTTGGTTAAATGGAACTTTTCCAAATGCTGCTTCAGATGTATATTCATTTGCTCTTATTACAATAGAATTTATGCTTGAAAATAATTCTTTTTATGGAGATTATGATACGTCAGATGATAAATCTATTTTTGATGCTATTCAAAAGAAAGTCAAAGTTACTATTCCTCAATCATTCAGTCAAACTCATAGAGTCATTCTTGGTAGATGTCTTAACTATGAACCAAAAAATAGACCATTGATGGAAACTGTTCTTGCCGCTTTTGACCAAATAGTTGTCGAATCAACTATGACTTCAGTAGATGCTATTGAATTTTGGTCAGATAGGTTTTCTGATGGAGATGTTCCATTGTTTGAAGTATCATATGATGATGTTATGTTTGCTTTAGATGAAACTGTTTTAAGTGACTGTGATGAGAATGTTAAGAATGAAATTAAAGAAGAATTAATACCTCTCTTCCCAGCTAATGGAATTGTTACTGCAGTTGATTTTGATACTATTGTTTGTTGGTTTGGTGAATTCTTTAATGATCCAAAAATTATTGATGAAATGAGAGACATTGTTTCTGCTTCTTATTTCAGTGGACTTATTGATAAAAAAGTCGCTGAAGGTAAACTTTCTGGAAAAGTTGATGGAACATATCTTATAAGAATGTCATTTACAGACGCTAAAAAAAATCCATTCACTCTCACAAGAAATGTCAATGGTTCACCAAAACACCATCGAATCGAAAGACTTTCTTATGCATTTGTACAAGCTAGATACCAAATCACTATTGATAATAAAAAAATTACGGCTCAAACACTTAGTGGTTTAATTGAAGCACTTACTAAAATGGGATTTATTGTTAGTCCTGATGATGGAGTTGAAAATTCAGACTATGGAGAAGCATAATTTATCTTCTTATTTATTTATTTTTTGTTAATTTTTGAGTCATAAATAAAAATCATAATCAATTAATTAAGTATTAATAGAAAT